GGGGGGGGGGGGATGCGGAGGGGATGGAGAACGCCTGGATAAAGCGGCGTATAATTAGATAGGGTGCAAGATATATTTGGAGCTTGGCCATGTTGGCCGGACGCCAGACTTTAGTCTTGCATCTCCCATGCTCCTTTTCCCAGCGTCGTTGGGTTACCTTTTCGGGTCGGCGGGTGGAGGGGGGAGGAAAGGGGTTGATACTGTGATCCACGTGTATGTATATTAAACGTTCATGAATGTACCGCCTTTTGGGTATAAGAGGGGGCGTAAAGTTACACAGACGACACAGGGACAACGAGTTTTAGAAGAGGTTAGGGGAGATTGGGTGAGGTTTATGGGTTGGAATATCCATATCATTTTTTTTTTTTCATCCTTCGAGTTTAGTATGAAGTTATTGGTATTGATGGGGGGAGGGGGGATTTTCTACGAGATGTTATGGAGAAATGACAAACATTGTTATGGCTGAAAATTGCCGCATCGTGAGTGTTGGTAGGGCTGCGCACGATACCGCCCAAAAATAATCGAGACGATACCAAGACGAGACTGCCGCTGAAGGGAGACTTTTGGGGAGAGTCTCGTCGAGTCTCGTTGTTGGAGATTTTTGGGGTCAAATGAGTCGTGAGGGTCAGATGAGTATGAAGGTCACGTGAGTTATAAGGGTCAGATGGATAATGGGAGTCCTCATCTGACCTTTCAAACTCATGTGACTCCTCTGACGCATCACCTCTTCAAACACATCTCACCGATAGAATTTATTTCACCCTGTAAACTCATCGGACTCTCAGACTCATCTGACCCATAAATCCTGAAATTATTTATATCTTGATGATTGATCCATGTCCTTCTGCGAAAACCTACTTAATGGTTGATTAATGGTTAAATTAAAAAAACTACTTGTTGAAATTCATCAACTAGTTATTGAGATTCCACAACTAATTGTTAAAATTCGACAACTGCTTGGTAATTTTTTTTTAACAACTAGTTAAGTTGGTGAGATGTTTTTAGAAAGTCGGATGAACCACCTCGTCGTTTGATCTCATTGATGTTTCATCATATTGTTATCGTTGTTTATTAGTGAATTTAATAATGTAATACCGTGAATATTACAGAACTAATGAGAATGAAAAAGAGTGATTGACAGTTCATTGTAATATAAGAGAAAAAGTAATCATGAAGACAAATTTTTTCCTCTTATTTCCCGAGTTTTACACTCATGAGACCAAGACGATACTCTCCAAAGTCTCGTCTTGTCTCCTCTCGTGTGCAGCCCTTCTCGTGCTAAGCCCTAAGAAGCGATGAGTTGTCCTGCAGAGTTTTGAAGCGAAGAGAAAATGTGAGAGAATTCTCTGGTGTTTTTAGGCTACATCAAAGTTTTTTTGTATTCACACACCCTCTATTTACCCCACCACAATGCGTCACTTCAGCCGAAAATTCAGCGCTTTCACGAACCCCAAATCACATCATTCAATCGCTTTACCCAGAATAATGCTGATACATCCACAACTCAAAGTATTTTCAATTTTCATTCTTTCCCATCAAAATGGCGTCCCAAAATCGCGTGCAATTTACCCAATCAAATTTCACAAAGAGAGGATGGACTTCATCGGAGGGTACCTCCCGTATATTTCAGATATCTTGAAAAATCAAAGTTTTAATTTGGTTTCAAGCTGCCCTCTCCGTCCCCCTCCAACTCGCAATTATGAAAGTTTCAAGGTAATTGGTTGAGTGTGGTACCGATTGGCTCCACGGATGTTACGTCGTGAGTGGGATAGTGGGAAAATGTTTGCGTGCCCTCTCAGTCTGACGTTGGCACAAGTGCCCTCACCCCTAACGTTCCCGAGAAGAACTGAGGAAATTCGCTCAACGCATCAAGATTGAGCGACTCTAGGGGAAAATGGGTAAAAATGTCGTGACAGTTTTTTCACAGTTCGTCGAAAGAACAAATTAATTGACGACACGAGAGGCACGAGGGGACCTGCCAGGGGGGAGGGGGGGGGGCTCTAACGACTTTCGAGTTTGATTCAACGATAAATCTCGAATCTCGTTTCGTGGGCTTTTACGGCCACGGGAAAAGGAAGAGAGCGTCCCGCGTCGGCGGGTTACGTCGAAGGGGTAAAAGTTGTGAGTTAATCTATTTTCTCGTAAAGCAACTTTAACCCCTCTAGTCTCCCTCCCCCTCCCACCCCCCGCGATGCCGTTCTTCACTTTATTTTCTTGGCTCCGAGGATATGCGTTTTCTTACACTTCAATAAATTTGGAGAGAAATTATCGACAGACATTATGACTCCTGGTTTTTAAAATTTATTGTTTGTTGTGGTTGTTTGTTGCAGAGAGCCTCAGAGAATACTTCACCAAGTATGGGGATATCACGGAGGTTATGGTTATGAAGGATCCGACAACGCGACGATCAAGGTAGGATTTTTTATTAATGCAAATGTCTTCATATTCATTGGACGGGGTGTCCAGCCGTCAGGGAAATCTGGGAAACAGGGAATTGCGACAACTTTCTGGAATTTAAAAATTTGATGCTTGTTTTCTCTAAGTACCTAAATTGAATGAACTGAATAAAATGAACAAACTGAGATTCAATTTTCAGTTGTCAAGCAATAGTGCTATTTCTAGCTCCACGTGTTTTTTTTCTCGTTAATTTCACGGAGGGGCCGGTAAATAGGGTCTCTCGACACTGGAATGATTGACGAGCAAGGCTTCGTCGCGTTAAAAATAATTCCCGCGAATTTGAACAAGAGGTTTCAGTAAAATTGCGAATTTTCAGCGACGAAAATCCTTAAAATTCCTTCAAACAAGGTAATTTTTTTTTAATCTCCATATTTTTTCAACACTCCAAGTGTAAAATTCCACAGAAATTCCCCGCAATTAGAGAGGTGTGATAATGTTTTCATAAACTCAAAAAAACTTGAGTGCCAATGAAGTTTTAAAAGATTAAAATCCCTCTTAATTAAAGAGTAATATTCCACGGAATTCTCGCCGGAAAATTGGCAAATTTTCCGAGGTACAAAACTATATGTTCACCAGTTATCCCCTTCACTTTTCCACACCGTCTACAACTCTGAATTGAGAAAGTCAAAGTTTTAGGGTGGGTCTAATCGCCTTGGAATTTCACAACCGAAAATGTTCGAATTGCGTCTGAGGTCTTCATTTATCTTTCTCCAGTGCTCACCCTCAGCGCCCATTCTAATTAATTGAACCTTGAAAGTTTTACTCTATTTAGAGTTGAGAATCATGGAGAGATGATAATTTGAGTATTGAATGGAGAACTGAAGAGTAAATAAGCAAATTATGATGGATTGAGGAGAGCGCTGAGGGGTTGTTGAAAGTATTCTCGGGATTATCCTCATAATAATGAGGAATTGAAGGGATTTCTAGGGAGTTTCATGAGGTGTATTCAACGCTACAAATGATCGAGTTACTCGAGTGGAAATTTCAGAAGAAATGCTCAGTGAATTCACGAAACCCAAGCTTTAACGGTGTCTTTTTTTTAAGAATACTAGATCCCATTTACGATGGAAAATATGAAATTAATAGTGTATTGTGATATAAGGGTAGGATTCGTGTGTTTGTTGCAAACTTCACACTCGTCATAACCTGCATAAAAACCAAATTATCCCCAAATGAAAAATAATAATTTTTCAAACCTCATAATCATATTCAAACTTCATAATCAATTTTATTTCTCTTCTACAATTTATTGACAATTTTTGATTGAAGAAAAGCCCAACTATTCCAAAGAGAAAATACGCAACTTATTGCGCGCAAAACAAAGGAATAAGTCGCACTTTTGACGTAGCCATGACATAAAGGACAAAATGATGATGAGGATCACGATCGTAAATGAAATTATCCATAAAAATACCATTCAGTGTAGAAATATGAAAACCAATTTCCTCAAAAAATACCTGAAATCGCGGAAATTAAATTTCAATAATAAACCTGATAACTTCAATTCTCCATTGTTCCATTCCACCACTCCATCCGTCCACAATGTATACTCTTTCATTACTCCCACAATTTCAATATTTTCCATCATTCCCCTGAGACCGTTTATTTGGGTCACAGTCCTGAGATTGAGATCTCATGATTCCTCATTAAGAGCTGCCCAAATTCTCGTTTAGTTGCAATCTCAGATGTTTTTTAGAAGAGATGGGGGAGTGAGAAAGAAGCCACCCCCATCGACGTCTCATTTCCTGCCTCGAACTTATCAAGACAAATATCCCGGGACTGTTCGTTCTCTCCGTATCTCAGTCCCTTTCTTACTTTTCCGCCTTTCTTGTTGAGAGAGAGGGTGCACTGGCAATCGGAAAAGAACTCTAATGAACAAACTATCCTAATTTCAAGAACAGCACTGAAAGACGGTTATTTTCACTGACGTTTCATTTAGAGTCGACTTACAATTCTCAGGGGAATTAATATTTATGGATTTTGCTGCTAGAAAAAAATTGAAATTTCATGGACAATGACTAGGGCAACTAGACCAATCGATAGACCTCAGGAGAATAAGAATTCGTTAGCTTACTCGAAGTTTCAATCAAAACATGAACATTAACTCCCAAATTACGCAGAATTTCGTCTACACGGAAATATTCAGTAAAAATTACGGAACAATTCACGTAATCTGTAATGGGGAATCGTTTTCCGGCAATTTTTATAGGAATGGAAGAGAAGAAATTTCTCAATCGTTGGGGAAAAATTACGGAATGACTTGTTGTCTCTACAGCGCTGAGTCACCCGACGGGTGGTTAATTTTTACGGAACAAATCGTAGAATTAACGTGGCGATTCGTACAATTTCAGTTGCGACTCACACTTTTTATTGAATTTTACTTCGCTCGCGGATTACATTTCGAAACGTAATTTTTACGTTTTTTTTCTAGTAATTTTTATCGAATTTTTCTCTCCGTGTATGAAAGACGAAAATTTTGTGAAAATGTTTTATATCGAAATAATTAATTTTCAATGACGAAATTCCCGGAAATTTCAGTGGAATCATAACGTGATGAGAATAAAGAATCCAAGAAATGTCAGGCAAATGTCAACTAAAATTTACCACAGTGTTTCATGCTCATGAATAATTCGATATAATTAAAACATTGGAAATAGCATCATGTGGAGGGAGTTAAAGTTTTCTCGAGACTATTCCCACTCGCCTGAACTCAAACAATAGAAAATCCAGAAATATCCTATTTCATTATCCCCGCAAGATAACACATTTCCGTAGCGGTTTAAATCGTCTCACGTGTCTGATAGCGATGCACCCACACACGTGAATGAGACAGAAAGGAGAATGGAAGATGTGGGGGTGTGTGGAAGTCGGAAAATGCCAGAGAGGGTGGTAAAGTAATTTATCAGCTCGTCCGATAGGTAGAAAAGGGGCTGAGCCTTCACGGTTTACATACACTCACCATTTGCCTTTATCCCATCGCCTATTACTCCCCCATTTTTTCCTTCCTCATACAAAAGAGTACAGAATTTGCATTGAAAATATTTTCATTACATCCAAACATTTAATTAATGGAAATAAAACAAATTAAATAAAAAATCTGAACCATGTGAATTTTATGGAGAAAAAAATTGCTGAATTGATGAATGAAAAAGAATATAATTTTTGTAACTGAATTGTAAATCATAAATTTTATAAATCATGAAGAAAAAAAATTGCATTATAACAAGCAGGGATTTGAGCCTATCCGACAGAGAAGGTATGTGACCGCTATACGGAGAGAATTTTTTTAGAAAAATTCTAGTGCTAGCACGGGAAAAGAGGCGCAAAGTAACGGCTAGGAAAAAATTTCAGTGCCGGCACTAAAAATTTTATTGGGGAAAATGCTGTGAAAATTTCACAGAAACCCCCAGAAGTTCTACCGGAAATACCAAGATATTTTACCTTAACAGCACTAGAATTTTTCACAGCCGGTGGATTGTGATTTTTTCCGGTACTCGTACTAGAATTCAGTAGTGAAGTGGTAAACTGAGATAAGTCGACTTATTTCCCAGTTGAGTATTTGAGGAATACTTCCAAATCTAAGGGAGATAGCGAAATTTTCGTAATTACATTTGTTGTAGCACTCAATCAGCTCCACAAAAAAGGTTATAACAAAAATTTTGCTATCTCCCTTAGATTCCGAGATGATGATTGAAGACCGGTCAATAATCAAAATTGACTTTTCTCCGTTTACCACTTCGCTACTGAATTTTTCTAAAAAAAATTTCCCCGTGTACTTTTTGCGGAATTAATCTCTTTTTTTTATTCCTACCAATTCCATTGGTAGTAAGTTACCGAATTCGTGGCAATTCCCTGTCCTTATGACAGGCATATAACCATGACCCTAAAAACATCATTCCTTCACGTTTCATAACATTCCATACCATTTACAATAAAAATAAGAAAATCGAAAAATCGGTCAAAAACAAGACTTCCCTTCGGAAACAAAAATGCAAAAAAAAGATAATTAAACAATTTGAAATTGCAGAAAATATAAATTTTATAATTGAATGAATCGTAAAAATGTGAATTTCCATCGAGATAACCGAGAAATCACGGTAACGTCCCACATAGACCATCAGCCCCCTCTTCTCTATTTCACTCGTACACAAGGATCACGCGATTGCCGCGTTAATTCCCGTAGGGCACAGCAGGTGTCCTCGTGCGAGAACTCACATTAATCCACCCCTCCTCCCTCCCCTCGCTGCACTCATATATACCTCAACCGAGGGGTAGTAAAACGGTACGAAAGAGGTGGTTTGAGGGGTACGCAGAAGGGGATGTTCGGTGCTATCTGTGTAGCTCCGGGGCGTCCCCTTATTTATTCTTCGATTAACTACGCTTGGACGCCACGCACTTGCGCTTGGCTACCCGCATTTAGGGGTACCCAGTTGTGATATCAGTGGAGAAATAATTTGTTTTTGATCGGCAGAGAAATTACCGAAAATCGAGAAATTAGAGGGGAGCATGCGTTAATTATTCAACCCCATTCATTAAAGAAAAATATGAGGCTGAAAAAATTCATTGTAAAAACTGTTGATGAAGATAAGATACTAATTTCTCAAAAATCGATTTTACTCTTCACTTTGAGTTGAGGATGTCTAGCCAAAACCCACGCTATTCACCATCATTTTAATATTGTCTCATATGCCAGGTTCATATTTGAGCCACACGTCAGTAATAATCTTAATATTTCCATCCGGACGTCCTAGTAAGAAATTAATGTCTGAAAATCACTTCTTGTAACATTACGCTCAGGGGAGAAACGTGACCGTGTGAACTTTGATCGAGATGTTGCATGGGTTAGACACTCAAGATATTGAAAAAAAACTACAAGCCGTTTACTTTAGACTATGGAGAATCTATCGCCAGCGAGAACAAGCAGGGCACCGGGCCATATAGGCGTGATATCTTCG